CTTAATTGCTTATCGAATAGCGAAATATTATTAATAGTGTCCATTAACGGTGCTAAGGGTTCATCTCACTACTACTGCTACCTTCCTGTAAGCATTGCCTTTTCCGATAAGCGCAACAATACGAATAGCTTCCACGTCGATTCTGTTCGAAGATCTGCGTTCTGTGTATTGTAAACACCTGTTTTCTATTTCACCGAAACTATAGATTATGCGAATACAGATTTACTAGCTACTATAAATCTTTCCTCTTTGTATGCATTAGACTAAGTTAAGAGTGATATTTAGCATTACGAATGACGAGAGCTTATGAGAACGACAATTAAAATGGCTTGCGATGTCTAGTGATAGGTTCATGACAAATGTTTAACTAATTCTATGGTATTGCATTGTTACCAAAGTTTCATAGGCCTAAGCATATGTGCATACATTTGGATTGTATCGATATTTTTAATATCAATCGTTAGTTTTTTTTATATATGTGTCCAATCCGTTTTGCTAATTTCAAGTAAATCGTTATGTCCGATTTAACTGACTAACTAAACCTAATCAAATCAGAAAAACGAAAAACATTTGACATGATTTTTGTTTTTGTACGACAAGACATTACAAACAAGTGACAAATCTAATATAGTCCACGTGATGGGTATCGTAATTCGTATGGGAAGTTAGTCACACCGTATTCGCTGTCGGCTTAATTACTGCAAATTTGTAACAAATACCCTTATATGGCACATATGTGAATGCATAAGTCGACTTATTTATACAAGCGATTATTAAATTTAAGCAAATGCTATAGAGAAAGCGCAATCAATACATTGTTATAATATAAGTTATAAGCCAGCGAAGAACATAGCGATCATTCATAAGCGTACAGCAATGAACATCCTTACTTGCACGTACACATATTTTATAGAAACCTATACCTTGCAATTTCCAACTTTTCAACATGACGATATAAAGAATAATAGCCATATCGATCATTTAGATATCAAATATGTGAAGATATATTCCCATGCGATGTAGTTGTCTAATGGATAAATAGTTTCGATATTTTTAGATTTTACAATAAATTTAAGATAGTAGTAGTGCGTGCATACTACTTTTGTAATTTCATTATTCTGGAGCCTTTGCGAAAATGAAACTATTTCATCGTTCGTTAATTTTAAGTTACCTTTCGGAGGACCAATGCCTGCCGTGTAATAACTGTGCAAACAGCAAATACTTGCAGGTTTTAGTTCGAGTCCAACGGGTCATAATTATAAGTTTTGGAAATGGCTTATGCGTCATTAGATAAAGTTGCTCTTTCCCAACATTAGTAATTTTGTATTCGTTTGTGAAATATGTATATATGAGGTTAAGAAAAATGAAGAAAATTATAAAATTTCATACATTATTCTATTCTTCATTTATTTTAAGCAACAGAGCTGAAATATATAACAAAGTATTCATCAATTGTAAAATCGTTATATTATATAATAATGATTAGGAATTTAAAAAAAATTTGAAATTTTTTATTTCAAATGGTTTGTGAAAGTTTGCCAAAGTCGCTTCTCACAGTTTCTCCGTCTTTGAGGCGGGGCTGCTAGAGTCAAGTTAGGCTAGCTTAGTGTAAGTTAGTATAACATCGGCAAGTATAGTAAGAGAGCTAGAGTTAAGCTAGGATAGGAGGATCCTGGTAGAATAAGTTAGACTAAGAGTAACATAGGATTAGACTAAGCTTACTAAGAGTAAGCTAGGATTAGACTAAGAGAATTAAAAGAGAATTAGCTTTAAACCGAGGTCTAGTCAAGTTAGGAGAAAGTAAGTTAGGAGTCGGTCGCGAGGATCGCAAGAGATCAGACATCTCGCTAGACTTGAAACTATAAATACGGACATTTTTTAAATCGAAATGAAATATGAAATAATAAATTGATGAATATATCATATAAAGAATTTGAAATAGCGTGTATAAATTTTCTTGTGAAAGGCAACCTGGGATCGCTGAGCTACCCTAGCCCCCTAGCCCCCCCAGATTCTCCTTCTTCGAGTTATTTTATTATCCTTAAGTTGAGTAATATGGAATTTGATCGAAAATTAAAAATAATATATATGCATATAATGTTTAAATTAATTATTACGGAGAAATTTGCAAAATGTATAAATATATTTAGTTAAATAAATAAATTTTTGCTAATCAATATATATTTCTACGACCAGTGTGTGGAAAAACTCGAGCAATTTAATTCTCTGCAATTTTCTGATATTTTCATATCAATTACTAATAATAACTGGGTGTATTGCTCGTGTTCTTATAAAGTCAAGTGCATGCATTTATAAGAGAATATTAGCATATATTATTTATAAATAGATTTTTGATGAATACATATAACGCTGTATGATAACGTATATAATGTATTGTACACATACGTGTACATATGCATATCCTTGTATTATATAACCATATAAGTTTATTACAATATAGTATATTACATAGAGACGCGGAACTAATTTGTTTACTGGTTTCCTACTTTTTCTTTATATGCAACTGTGGTAATCATAGAGCCTTGCTACTTTCGTACATATATATATAAATGCACGCGTACATGCACACATGCATCCACACTTGTAGATGCATAAACGCTTACAAATACACGTGAATGCTACTCTACACACATTGATTGCTTTGGCTGGCAAAGGCAATTGCTTAGTATTTGTGTATACGTGTGCGTATGCTAGCATTCACGCGTGTCACATGCTTACCGCAATATTTTCCCACATTTATATAAATGCATATGACTTGAAAAATTTGCGAACTGTGTGTGTGTGTGCGTGTGTGTGTGTGTGTGTGTGCATATTTATTTTTTTGATATAGATATGTGAGCATGTATGTGCCTGTGCTTTGTATCTACGTGAATATGAAAATATGCGTATGTGTGCGCATACACTTGCTACTTTCTTATACTTATAATAAAAAGGAAAAATTGCATTTTCTGGCTTTCTGGCATATTGCTTTTACCAGCTAGTAAATGGAAGCAAGTGAAGAAATTTACGATAGACAAACTTGGAAACAAACGTGCAAATTTAAAAAAAAAAAAAAAAAAACCTCGCAGTTTTTTTTTATTTACTAATATTACGTAAGGGAAGCAGTGCGGAAAATATAATGAATTTACGCGTTAACATTGTTGTCGACGACGGTGACGTCAACGAATACGGCAAAATGAACGACACCAATGTCTTCGTTGACATTGGCATTCCGTGCAGTTTTCTGTTTCGTCATTATCATCAACATTGGCATTATCGTTGTCTACTGCATATTTCATGATCATACAGACATATATATATACATATACAGACATATATATATATATATTAGTTTGGGGAAAAAGAAATCCATTATTTTTTCGGTAGATGGCTGCACTGATAGATTTCTCGTAAAGTATCGCGTCAAACAATTTCAGATTTATGCTCGTTGGAAAGGTGACATTTCGCAATAAAAAAAATTCTTTTGCTGTTTTTTATTTGGTGCATTCAGTTGTGAGTTACAGCGTGTTAAAAATGGAAGTGAACAAAGAGAAAATTCGGTACATTTTACAGTTTTTCATTGACAAAGGCGAAAATGCAAGCCAGGCGGCTAAAATTGTGAATGGTATTTATGGTTCCGATACTGTAACAGCCAATTATGTGCAATTTTGGTTTCGTAGATTCCGTTCAGGAATTTTTGATGTTAATGCACCTCGCACAAGTAGGCCGGTCGTCGAAAATGTCGATAAAATCGGAGAAATGATCGAAGTTGACCGGCATGTTAGCAGTCGTAACATCGCCCAGGAGCTAAAAATCGACCATAAAACAGTTTTAAACCATTTACACAAAGCTGGATTCAAAAAGAAGCTCGATGTTTGGGTGCCACCAATTAACAGAAAAAAACATGATGGATCGAATTTCCATCTGCGAAGCCTTGGCCAAACAGAATGAGCTAGACCCGTTTCTTAAACGGATGGTGACTGGAGATGAGAAATGGATCACATACGATAACCCTGTGCGAAAACAATCGTGGTCAAAGGGCGGTGAAGCACCTCAAACGGCCAGGAAGGTTTTGCTATGCATTTGGTGGGACTGGAAGGGGATTATTTATTATGAGTTGCTTCCATATGGCCAAACGCTAAATTCTGATCTCTACTGTCAACAACTGGATCGTTTGAAGATAGCGATTGACCAGAAACGGCCAAAATTAGCCAACAGGAGAGGTGTCGTGTTCCACACATCTACAGTGACTCGCCAGAAACTTCGGGAGCTTGGTTGGGAAGTTTTAATGCATCCGCCATACAGTCCGGACTTGCCACCAAGCGATTATCATCTTTTTCTTGCATTGCAAAATTTCTTTAATGATAAAAAATTGGAATCTAGGGAGGATTGTGAAAATCGACTACTAGAGTTTTTTGCAAATAGAGACCAGGACTTCTATGAGAGAGGCATTTTGAAGTTACCCTTAAAATGGCAACAAATCATACAACAAAACGGTGCATATTTGACCCAAATCGGACAATCCGAAGCATGTTAAATAAAGTCCTGAAGTTCATATAAAAATAATGGACTTCTTTTTCCCTAAACTAATATATATTTATATATAAATTTAGGTTTACGTAGGTTTATATACTTCTTTATCATTCAAGACTTGCTTAACGGTCTTTCCTTTTGCTTTCTTTTTGCTTTCTCTGTTCGGATTTTGTAATTTATACTGTTACCTTATCTGTATGCGCAAGTGTATGTGAACTGCACGTTAGAGACAATCCAGCTGTACACATACTTGCATATATACATCTATTTGTTTCATTGATGCCTTGGCCGCTCAATTGAAAACTAATGGTAAAGAAATATTTGCCATCTACAGTAATTGTATAAAGTTCTCTCAATATAAAAAATAAATAAAACACATTTGATTTTGTAATTATTTAACGGAATAGATGTTTGTATTGTTGACAAATTACGTTCAATATCATTGCTTTCGTTTAAATTTATTGCAGTAAAATTTTTACGTGAAGTCACACCTTACTTTAGAAAAGCGAGCATTATTTCGGAGGTGGGCTGGGAATTGCAACGGGCTTTTCTATGTCCCTTGGGTCCGGGAGTGGCCGCTTCACCACCTGCTCCAAAAACAACACCGCGAGCTGATACACGATACATACCTTTGCAATTAACGCATTTGGCACGAAATCTAAAATATATCGATCCAGGTAAATAATATTTATATATTTATTTATTTTTTATTTACTTACACATGGAACTCAACTGAGACAAATTAATAGTCGAACTCAATTGACTCTTAGAAGCAAATCTTATACTAATTAGTATTAAAAACTAATGTTAAGTGTACAAGGAGAAGTAAAGAAAAAAAAAAATAGTAATAATAATAGTAATTAAATAATAATAATAATAAAGTATAAGCTAATAAGAAGGAGAAAAAAAGAAAAAAAGCGTGTACCCAACTAGCACAATGGCACACCCATAACCAGTACAAAACCAACTTGCAAATCAACCACTAAGCCATCGTAAACATGCAAAATCTTGGCAGCCGATTAGGTAAACAACACCAATTAATTTCCGAATCATAATGAGATTAGGATCATAAGATTAGAAGTTAGTTTAAGTAAGACATAGGTAAATCGCGCCTATTAAGCTGTGTTGTTTTGATAGACTCTATAGAATCCGATATTAAGATTAACTGAAAGACATTATTTAGATTTCTGCAAGCAATTCTAAACGGGTTAAATAGCTCATAAGTATATTTACATTTACTCGTCTTAAGGAACATGAAGTGCCTCTAGAAGCGGTTGGGGACATTTAAGCTTATTTCACTAAGCAATGTGGACGAATCGATAGTAGGATCAATTAATTTAATTAAGAAGGAGACCCCAAGAATAAATCTACATTTGTCAAGTGACGATAAGGATAACAGAAGCCTATTTTCATAAGGAGGCAAGGAGATAAGCGGGTGCCAATCCAAACTCCTAAGGGCAAACAGCAAAAATTGCTCTTGAACTGATTCAATTGAATCTACTTAACACCTATAGGGAGAAGACAATACAATCGAGCCGTATTCACGTGTTTTTCTAACTAAGCGCATGTATAGCTTTTTTGTAACGTAAGGATCCTTACGCTCTTAATGAAATCAAGCGGGAACCTACCTTTACTTAAAGAGAGCTTAATGTGCAAATTAAAACGTTACCTTTGTTAACAAATAATGTGTTCCCTCAAATTGTCTTTCTTTTTACACCCATTACCGTTATTCATAAAAAAGACAAAAAAAGTAAAAGAACTAAATTTTCACGCTCTGTAATATGATGTGGTCGCGACTAATTTTTCAAATAAAAGTTGTTGTCGTATAAGCGTGTGGACTTTGTAAGCGTGTCATTTGAAAAGTTTAGGGCACTTCGAAATTCTTTTGCAAACGAAAGAATGGTTGCCACAGATACTATTTAGTTGGCCAGACGTATAGATGGACAGATCTGAAACTGGCTAAAAATTTATATACTTTAAGGGATTTTTTTAACTTATTTCTGCGCGTTTTAAAGGTATTGAAAAAAAAAAATTAAATTTCGAAGCACTATAACATTGGGTAGGATTGGTCAACTTTTTCCATGCCGGTGCTACAGCATCGCCCAACCAATATGCGTTCAAATTGTTGTATATTTATCTGTTATAGTTTAGGAGTAATGAGCAAAAAACCAATTTTTCATTCTTCTTGAAAAACAAAGGTGCTCCCATTTCACATGGTGCTGTGGGCGTGTCCTTCGACCAGTTTGATCCATTGTCATCACCAAACTGCTTGCAAGAACTGACAATGTTTCTGCGGAATTTGAAGTTGATAGCTTCAGTTTTATGGCCAGGAAAATGTTTATGACATTAGACAGACGTGCAGACGGACATGTTTAAATCGCTTGAGAATTTGGTGCTGATCAAGATTATATATATATATAGCGGGGTCTCTGTTGCTCCCTTCTGGGCGTTGCAAAAGTTTTGACAAAATGAATATACTTCAGTGATGGGTATAAAAATAAAATTCCATTCACAACAACGACGATAATGATGATGGTGGTAAAGATTATTATCCTAATAAATGTAATAATTTTTAACTTTATGATTATAAAACTTTATTGTTTCATGAAAAATTTTTAAGTTGTTCAACTCGAGAAGTAATATATATGTTACTATGGTATATGGTATTGTGATCAAAAACTAAGACCAAAGTTCGCGTTAAATTGCGCAGTTGTCTCGAAAATCAGAAGTATTTTTTTTTCTATATTGGTAACATTGTAATCTGTAAAATGTGCCAAATTCATCATTAGTGTTTCAGATGTGTGATTGTATTGAGCAAAGAAGTTGCATTAAATTTTGATTTGCAAATGCAATGGACCTTTGGATTTGTCAGGAAGAAACATTTACAAGTGGTATAAGCAGTTCAAAGAATACGGAGAACGGTTTGAAGACGTAGAGCGTTTCGGACGATCGTCAACGTCTATCGATGAAGGTCACGTCAAACAAATCGAACTTTTGATGCTCAAAACCGTCGATTAGCTATTAGGGGACCGTGCTGACGCTATGCGCATTTTAAACGGATCAGTCAACAACATTTTGAAAGATTTTATGGGCCTGAAAAGCGTCAAATCCCAATTGGTACCAAGAACACTCAATTTCTGCGTTGGTTTTTCGAAACCATTTCGTTAACAATTCAAACCACATCGTTCCACATCCATCGTATTCACCTGGTTAAGCCCCATATAACTTTTGGCTAGTGCCTAAACTCGAAAGACTGCTTTCTTTTGACTCGATTGAAAACACACCAGCTGAATCCGTAGAAAGCTACCAAGGCCATTCCGGAAATTTACTATAACAGTTGTTTCGAGGATTGGAAAAAACGTTGACATAAGTGTTTAGTAGCTGAGGGGGTTGCGTTGAAGGCGAAGAAATAGATTTAAAGAAGATACAATTAAATTGGTCTTAATTTTTGATCACAGTAGTTACTAAAAACTACTGATTTTCATAGAACGTAAATTTATGTATGTATAACATCGAGAGGTCCATTTAAGCTTTAGGCCCATTCTAGAGTGGAATAATTGCGTGCTTACATTGCATAAGTGGATATGGAGGACTTCATCCTGCTATATTTATAGTTTAGTTTTGGTTGAGTTACCAGAAAGAAAAGTGTTGTTAGTAGAAAAGTGAAAACTCAATTTAAGTTAACAAAACTTAAACACTAGTTTATATTTAAAATAAACTTACAAACGCACACAAACACACACACACACACACATACATGCATACATAAATACGCTTTGCTTACATCTTAGTTAAAAGTCTTCCCCTTTGTCAACATCGTCATCATCATCATTATCATCATTATCATCATCATCATCGTCATCATCGTTATAATAGCAAAACATCGTTTTATGTTGTTTGACTGTTTAAGAGGGTGTTATACAATATTTTGTACATACAAATGAAGTTAAGTTAAGAAAAAACTTCAGTATATGTGTATACAATTGTATATCTCTAATAATATTTTATATTTAGTTTATGTTTTAATTGTAACGTTTGTTGCCTTAAAAGTCGGCTTCTTATTTAGCACTTTATTTAAGAAAAATTTTCAACTCTAAACAAAGAACTTAGTTTCGCAAAATTTTCAGAAGCGCACACACACACACACACACACACACACACACACACGAGATATACATGCACTGACATGCATCCGTAAATGTAATAAAATATGAACATAAATTAAGCACTTAAGGGTGTACGTATGTGCATTAAGTACGTAAATGTATGCATGTGAATATAGTAAAAAGAGAAAAAACGGCTTAATGTTATTGAAAACTTTTTGAAAAACAAATACGCAGCCAAAATGGTATAAATGATTTCTAAACTGTACTTCTAATGTGGACTTTGTTAGTCAATTCTATCGGTGTAAAGATGCTCATGAAAACTCGCCTACCGCTTCAGTGTTAATCGACTTTGGTAAAGTCTATGCTTTGTCGTCCTTATAAAGACGGAGGTACATTAACCCAAATAGCAATCACATGAAGTTGTATTTAATGTAGTAAATGGAATTTTTGGAATGGTTTTCCTTTCTATCACATGACGGCATTTTCCAAAAAGTTCGTTGTAATTGTTGAAAGTGACATTTGAAAGAATTCTTGCTTTAATTAGCTTTGTTACGACTTCACAATCTTTTGGAGAATAACAAGTAAGAAGGTGAGCTAAATTTTCGAAATCTACACTATGAAACTAATACATTGGTATTGGCATTGCTATTGCATATTAGATTGTTAACAGTTGACGTGACTGTTTATGGCTCTGGATGACTTTGTAGCTGCTTCTCGAAAATATATCGTTTTAAGTTTTCTACCTCTCATAGCTTGCAAGATATTCGTCTTAATGTTTCCATGTTTGCGGTTGCACTATGAACGTTTTATCGTTGAAAATTTAAATAAAATAGTCCTTCTTAAGAGTTGTGATTTTCAGTTCAATATTTGCTACGAATTATAAGCACGAGATTTTTACGTAATGCGGGCACAGTTGTGAATAGCTTCGTTCACATTTTTAAATGCGAGCTTTGGCTATCTACTTTAAGCCTATATACCACATCTCTGTGACTGTCTATCTTAAAGTCCAATTAAGTTCATTAGATAAGTTAATCTTAAAATCATTGTGCAGCACTGTGTCTAAGACTGTCAGCTGGGTTAAGAGAATTTGTGAATTTGTCTTGCCAAAAGCTCAATATTTTGTAAAGAGTAAAGTACAGTTTAACTTTCGTTTAATAGCAAAGAATTAATGCGTCCAGAAAAACGTTAATCTGCATAGATTGGAGTTCGAAAGTGATGAGGTCTTATTTAAAAACGCTTTCAAGACTGACTTTAAATAGGGCTGTGTTATGTTCCGAGCATTTTCGAGTACACAAAAACCGTAAACATTGTATCTTAGTCAAGTTGTCGTTAAAAATAGATTGGGAATCGCAATTCTTTAGTGCTATCTGCCTGCATACATACATTTATGCGAGTTAAAGTAAAAGCAGAGGCCGTTATAAGAAATTCTCAAAATATTTTATGTTATATTTTTATTAATAAAGTAGTGACTGTATGCGTGTGGCAGTACCAGCAGTGGCAATAATAACGGCAGCGCTTGCTTTTGTAGTTGTATTACAGTAATTTTACTATAAAATAAGCACATCTGGGGTTCATTTGTCTAGAATTTATGCCCACGTGAAGTGTAGTTTCAGTTATAGAACCAAATTAAAAAAAAACAAAAATAGCGCGAGAAAAACACACGCACGTACATCCATTGCACTAAACACACTACATAGTATTTTGCCGGTTATAAGCAGAAATTTAATGAGTTTTGTTACTATTTATTATTATTATTATTATTATTATTATTGTTGTTGTTGTTGTTGATTTTTTGGCTCATCAAATTATATTGTAGCAAATGTTATAGTAATTGCCTGTACATTTTCCTTTTCCTTTTCCTTTTCATTTTTTTTTTTTTTTTTTTTTTTTTATTCATTTTTTATTATTTTCTTTTCATAAATATTAATTTTTTGTAGAGAATCGTTGTCTGGAGCTTCATTCACCAGACGGCGTGCATTCATGTATTTTACGCGCCTCTGACTCAGCGGAAGCTCTAATTTGGTTCAATGCTTTGCATAGTGGCATGAGCTGCAGCACTCAACGTGCTCTCGTGGAGGCCAATCGTGCTTTAATGAATGTCATTGGCGAATTGAAACATATTGGCTGGCTGAGCAGACGACTTAATGGCGGGGGAGGCAGTAGTGGTAGTGTTGGCGGAGGTGGAGGTGGTGGCGGTGGCGGTGGCGGTAGTGGCACTGCTCTTGCTGGCGGTAATAGTGCTAGTGGGGGTGGTGTTGGCGTTAATGCTATCTTAGGCATTACTACAAGTGCTGGCAGTGCTGGCGATGTGGTTAGTATCGTGAAAATTGCTAAATTGTAAAAACTATTTTCATATGATAAATTACTTGATAAATTTCCTTTTCTCTATTCGGCATTTTTTCGATTTTGCCTTAGCCAAGCGGTCGTTCAAGTTCGGAGAGTTCAGATGAAAACGATAAATGGCAACCAATATTTGTTGCTGTCACGGAACGAGAACTAAGGTCGGTGCCTATGAAAGATTTTTTCATTAATTTGCTTTAAATTTCTATTGAAAATTGTTTCTCTGGACGGATTTTTGTGAACGGACAATAATAAAATTAATCATATCCTTTCAATATGTTATCTTATGTATATATATATATATAATATATAAATAAATACGTTGGGTTAGCGTCCAAAGAACCTGTTCCTATCCTAATACTACGTTACAGTTTTTTACTGCTTTTTGAAAATTTTGGCATATCAAGTGGTCAATTGGTCAGAACTTTCCTTTGATTATTTGATTGTCCCTAATAAATATATGTGTCAAGTTTTAGGTCAATATACCTTGTAGGCCGATGAGTTGGGCTTCATCTTACTTTGCGAAAAGCTAACTAACTTTCTAAACTGTTTCTAATTTCATAAATAGCGATTTCTTTACTTTTTCATAAATGTTCTGTCTTAAGCGGAGATTTAGAAATTTGCTCCTAAACTGCACGATAATAACAGATATTATTTATTATTTTGTTCTTTGTTACCGTTGCTCTAATGAAAATGAAAAAAGGCAATATTTGTGTGTGTGTTGCGTATGTGTGAATTTCTTTCGAAAGCTTGCATGTGCGTCAAACATTTGCAACACCCAAAACAAAAGAAAACTTTTAGGACCCCATAGGATATACAATTTTGGATCAATCTAAGTATGTCCGTCGATGTGTATACCTGTAGTAGACATTCTCCTAATTATGAAAATGAAGGTATCGGCTTCAAATTTGGGGAAAAAATTTGATTGTTCAAACCACACGGTCAAAAAACACGTCTACCACACAACATAAAATGAGAGCATTTCCGCTTTCAAAACTAAAAGAAAAGGCATCTTTTGCTTATCACTCATCAATTATGATACGCGAAACGAAAGTAATTTTTTTATCGCACCATGAGAAGGGGCAAAAAGTGAATTTGTTTTGAGAATACGAAGCGCAAACAATTATGGACAGATGATTAGAGCGTAATAGGCAGTCAGCCGAGTGGACAGTAACCGTCAAAGCGACAAAAAGCTAGTTTCAATAAAACAACTGTCACTTATGATCGAAATACCGTGAAACTTAGATACGTATCATATGAAGATCCCTACTACCCAGAAATCATATGGCTATGTGAGCGGTGTTGCGATATATGTGTTAGAACGGTGACGTACTAAGAGACGTGATTAGTCGCAAATAATGAATATCTCTGATCAGTTGATTATTTATAGTATTAAAATTTTGCCCGATATCGGTAGTCTGTAAATGCTGTAAATTAACCCTTTGCATCCGAATCATTTTTTAGTGTATTTAGGGTATTCAGCTCTACCTGGTCGTAGTTTTAGTAAAAAGAGCATCAAAAATTTTACTACAATTTTGCCGGAATAGCTATAGTGTTCAGACTCGAATAATGTTAATTACACACCAAGTAAAAAAATTTACAACGCGTGCATAATTTGACGTACAATATTATCGAAAATTGTAATGGCGCCTCTTGGGCGCCGTTCGGGTGCAAAGGGTTAATAAATTTATATTCTCTTGACTTTGCCCCCTTTTGCATAAGTTTTATTTAACTATAGATTAAGCAGCTGCAGTCCTTGTTCATATCATTGCCGTCAATGTTTACATGCTTTTCCCTTTTGACCGAGTTGATGTTGTGTGGATCGACAAGCACAAAAACTTAAATTGAAAACTAATAATATCCTGAATACTTTTTTTTTTTTTATTTTCGTTTTATATATTTCAACAGAGAGCTTTTATGGTTTTTACATTCGAAAAGTGTGCATTAACGTGTACGGGTGTAAGCGTGTGCATGTTTTTACGAATTCTGACCAAAGGTGATGAACCAGTTCTTTGACATGATATTTTCGGTGCAAATGTATATAAATGCTTTGAAAATTTATTGATAAAGTTTTGAGAGTAAAAGCAAAAAATGAAAGGAGAAACTTTTTCTGTCGTTTGACTTTTTTTATTTATCCTTTTATTTTTTTTATTTTGTTTCGGTTAAAAGATAATAAAAGCTTTGGAATTGAGATTATGTTTTTATTGTTTCCTTTTTAGGTTCGTTCTCAAGAAAATCCCCCTTTTTATCAACATTTTCTATAACAACCATAAAAACTTTTCTATATTTTGTTCATTTAATAGTTTTTTAATATGCTTTTACCAAAATTAGTTACATTCGGTTTTCGACTTATATTTTTTTCGCTTTTTTTTTGTGTTTTTTTTTTTTGCAATTCGTCGTACACATTATTATGTTTTCAGTGCTTTGTCCAAAAGAAGAATTGTTGCTGTCGTTATTATTGTTGTTTTAAAGAGTTTAGAGAGGAGACTTTTGACGAACAAATTGTAAATATGTATACAAATGCAAAAATTTGCAATGGGCTAAAGCAATTCGTGACCGTCTGCGTTGTAGTTGTTATTATTATTACTTCAAATAATTTAAAATTCCAATTTGTATTCGTATGCTTTGCTTTTCATTTATAGAATCTACGAAAGTGCACCATGGTCGGTAGAGGCTTGGGGACGTCCTTTAGAAAGTTTTGCTTTGGCCACTACTCGACTGGCTGGAGCAGGCAATAATTCATCTTTGACTGTAAGTTTTTACGCTGAAAGAAAGAAAAAAAAAAAGAAAAAAAAAAAGAAAAAAAAAAAAGAAGAAATTCTCAATGTTATCGTTGTGCATATGTCCTTGCTTTTCGTGTTGCCGCAGGGACAACAGTCGACCGTGTTTTGTGTGCGTTGCGGCACAACGCGTGGCGTTTTGGTGTATTGGCTGCGCTCGGAGACACATCGTGATATGGCGGCTTGGGCTCGCGCTTTAGTGCAGGGCTCTCACAACGCTGTCAATTATCAGCGCGAGTTTTCTTTTCGCTGTCTGTATCAAGGAAGACAGTGCCAACTGGTTGTGCATTTAAATCGTGGCTTTTGTTTATACGAATGTGGTTATGCGCCGCCCGCCCAAACCAAAACCCAATTATGGCAATTTCCGTTTGACAAATTACGTGGCTCAGCTGATGACGGCAATCGTATGCTTTTTCTTGACTTCGGCGACGACGGCGAAATTGTAAGTACAAAAAATTTGCTTTTTTTGGCGTTTTATTTGTTTTTGTAATAAAACATAATTTGCATTTATTTATTTATTTACTTTTTTTATTTTGCTCTTTTATTATCTCAAAAATTACCTGAAAGGAATTGGATATGGAGTGTTGTCCTAAACCGGTGGTATTTGTTTTACATAATTGTCTATCGGCAAAAGTTCATAATATTGTTTAAATTTTTTTTTTGTTTTTCTTTTTTTTATAAAACGAAAAGGAAATATTAGGAAAAATCTGGAACAAAAATAGAAATTATTGATACACCAAAAGAAAAAAAAAAAAAGAAGAAATAATAAGAATAATAATAAAGGGGAGTAGATTTTTGTAATTTCGTACTTGCCTACAATAAATTAATTAAATACATTTATACATAGAGATAAAGTAAAAGTAGTTCGCACATATACATATATCATACCAAACAAGGATTTAAATGGAAATGAAACCAAGTAATGATAGAAATATCAATGCAAAAAAATCTATAAAAAAAATTACTCTACTACAAGGCGCATTGGAACTTCCTAAAATTCCCTAAAATTCCCCTTCTCGCCCCGTCCCATCCGATCAAAATGTCCTCATAAATATATTATAACATCAAGCTGCCTAAAGGCCCGAAATAGAAACTAAATATACAGCCCAGCGTATATAGATAGCATAAGCTACACCTTAAGAATGTACATTAAATTTCTATTGAAAGATTTGCAAAGCATAAATATATGAAGGTTTATACTTTTATATATTTAAAGTGTAGCGTAAATTACCTTAAAAAGATTTAAATTTGTTGGTTTGAAATTATAAAATTCATATCGTAAAAATTATCCTAAGAGTATGAAGAGTATTTCTTCAACATCCGGCGGAACTGTCTGCTTAGAAAAATTGACATAAAAACAGACTTTTTTTTTTGTTTTTATTATTGTCAACTTTATCATCATTTTTAACTATTTTTTTTGTTTTTTACCTTAAAGAGATTTCACTGACGTGAAAATCGAAACTTTATACCGGCCACCGTAAATTTGTGAATATTTTCTTCTTATCTGCGTTTTACTCTGAGTTAAGCAACTACAGCGTGCCAGTTCACGCAATTCAATAAACTGATTATAAATCAATTTTCTAAACCACTTGAAAAAATGTAACTATCCCAGGCATTTTCTTTTTCAAACGAATTCACCGAAACATTTCTAGAGCAAACAAAATTTAGCGCACGAAGCTAGGAAATATACCGAAATATACTGAATTTGACACTTGCGCCTATATTTTTTTCCCGTTATCCCTACATTCGAAGAATTTTTGTAATTTTGAAGTCGTTCTATGAATTTTTCTGCCTCGATTACTTACGTATTTGAAAAAAAAATTTTTAGGTAAATTAATTCTATTTAAAGACTTAAGCGTTTTTCTAGAAATCCTTTCAAAAAAACTCTCGTCTAAGCATTCTTATGGTGAATCATGCTATTTACTTGCCCATGATGCTACATGTGTATATAAATATAGATTTCAAATGTTTGTTTTTAAATTTAAAAAAATTTAAAAAATACATAACTGAACAAAACGAAGAGCAGACACATTTTTCCATTTCTTTCGTTTTGCGGTGCAAATTGAAAAAATCCAATTGCAAACAACTTAGTTGGACGTTGCATATTTTATTTGAAATTAATTTCTTCTAATAAATAACTTTCGAGACTGGAAAGAATACGTCGTCTAAAATATAAGAGGTTTAAAAACTTAACAAGCTCTACAAAAATAATCGATTTAATCTAAGCCGAGTTGAACACATATTGTTTTCAATCGAAGGGTTCCATGCTCTTTTTCCAAATTGCTTACCATCCTGGATATTTTAGCGCGCTTCAGAAAAAATAAACAGGGAGATTTAAGCAAAAGCTTAAATGAGAACGAAACTCCTTGACATCATTATCGTGAAGTAATGAAGAGACCGACACACTTAAACATATTCCATTATTTAAGTTAATAAATAGCTAATATCGCAAAGAAGACAAAGAAGAGATTCTACTAAATAACGTTCGTGAATATATTCTCCATTGCCCGAATATTGGAAATATGGATTGTGAATTACCTAATAAAAGTAGAAATTGCAGATGACACTTTGGGAGAATATGCATCGAGCTTAATATAAGGCACATATCATTTTTAATTTTATTTTGAATAAGGAAAAAAAAATCGTAACTCTCAAGCATTTCATTATTTCATTTAGATTCAGAACAGAACCATTTTTCCAGCCTTTGAGTAAGCGGTTTTTGGTGTTGTCTGCTTTAAAAGTCATCCTTTTTTAAAGGGAAATTTGCTAAAGTTCGGCCGATGCTTAACCCTTTTGCGACCTAAGCATCCAGTTTTGTTATTACCCAAAACTTTTCTAAACGTTTTAAAAAATTGAAGGCGAATATTGCAACTAGAGCTAATTTTTCAAATTTTCAAATGTTCGACTGGATTAGCTGTATACCAACGCTATCAGAACAATAAACCTTTCGAATATCACACTTTATGTACCTCATGCGTGTGGATTAGCCCTCTTTAAAAAGGAAAGTCACATTTTGAATTTCGTCTGTAAACGATATATGTTAAGAATGAATTCTTTGAAATTCAATTAGCAACCATCTTAAAGGTAAATTTTGTAAAAGCGACTACGTAAATCGAGACTTCAATATAAATTATTAAAAAAAAAAAAAAAAAAAAAAAAAAAATATATATATATATATATGAATAAGGAATAAAATAAAAATTTTTGTAAATTTTCAAAAAAATTAATTAGAAGCTCCTAAAAGTAGGCCACACTTAAGAATACACTATAAACATATAAATAAATTCATTAAACATGCATAACTACAGTAAATCATGCCATACTTAAGTAACAAGTTAAATATTTATCTATTTGTACTCTTCGAAATTATGCAATAAAATCTAGATACACTTGTGTAACATATATATATCCTTTCTCTCTCTCACTCTCTCTCTCTCTCTCTCTCTCTCTCTGTCTCTCACTCCTCTCTCTTTATATATATATATATATCTTTATATATATATGTATACATCTTTCCAACTCCGTACTCCCATCACTACTTCCTCTGTGTAGACTATAATTACCTTTAATAATATAATTCAAAAATAATATATATTTTTTCAATTTTAAAATGAGTCAAAAACTAAAAGGAAATAAAGAAATAAAGTGAAATTAAATGAAATTTTGGTAATAACATACGATCTTATAATGATAAAATTATATTCATACACAAAAAAATAAGAAAGAAAAAAAATGCAAAGCAACAAACACAACAATAAATATACAATATTTTAACAATAATTATAGTCATTTCATAATACATATAATATACATATAAATAACTACATACAAACATAAGGATTCATTTGTTGTTTTTACGCTGTAAGTAAAAGAAAAGGAAAATACCTATCTTTCTCTTTCTATTCTCGTCATTTGAAACTTTTTCTATTTCTTTCTTACAACAAACAAAATGCTGTCATATTAGTAAAAAGCAGAAAAATGTGTAATGTGTGCAATAAATACATGGGTAATTGATAATGAATTAATATTAATATAACAACAACACAACAACAACAACAACAACAACAACACCACAATTAAATATAAAAATTAATATAATGATGATAATAACAATAATAATAATAATGAGAGCAAAACAAAATGTGAAAACAATATAAACGAAATTAAATTAAAAATTTCAATTATTCGAAAATGAAATGAATTGTCGTTAGTACTATTGGGAGATTAAAAATGTTCATAAATCGTCAGCCAGTCCAGTGCCAGTAAGATTTGGTTAATATGTGCACAAGACTTCAGTCAAAAAAGGTAAGTAATAGACGTTAATAAAATTTGAAAATTGTTTTAGTAAAATATCAGTATATAAGATGAGATTTACCTTAGTGTCGTTGAGTATCTGGACGCGTGTGTGTAGAGGCATATATCATTTTAAAATCCTTATTAGGTATGCAAATATGAAACCGGAGCATTAGTCAGTTGTAACGCATGCATATAACGCAACGCAAAAATACTGTTTCTAAGGTCGAAGTCGTCGAGTTCTTTTGCCAAATAATAAGCGTTCGCCGAAAACGGACCTTTTTTTGCCTGAACTGTATAGACGATAGTCTCTTTGCATCGAATCTCAACTGGGGGTGAAAAGTGCATTTGTTTTGAGAATCCTGGGCATAAAAATTCATGAATAGATTCACATCGATTGCGACACTGAATTATTTTGCAAGGCAAATGGTATTCTGCATTTGGTGTGAACACAAGCGTGTGCTGGTATCCAACTGTAAAGCATTAGTCCATTCAACTCATTCATCAAACTCGAATCTTTTCGCCAGCACTTAATTGCATCGATGGGACACATACTTGCTGAGCAAACCTTCGTTGCTTATGCAAATATGCGACAAAGGTGCTGTGTCTTGTTTGTTCCAAAAGAGCAACAGTTTTTTTGGCGTCTTATCCAATAATTAATTCTTCGAATAAAATATCTCTTTATAATATTCATACAATAAACATCTTGTGTATTTTCCACACGAAAATTCCGATTACATGTGCACATACATTTAGTCTCAACCTTTGTATTTTTGTGTTTTATATTGGCATTGTAGAGTGTGATAGTAACAAATATATTATATGAATATTCCCCTTCGAACGCATCCAGATAGTCAGTACATGATCTTTACTTTTCGCTACGAAATGGATTTATCAAATACTTTCAACGTTTAGGGGGGCAAACAAAGAGATCCCTAAAAGTAGGCTCTTGATTATGATGAATCGTGGAATAAATTTTACAATTTTAATTTGCCGCCCATCTATCGTAATTCCGATCGTGGTTGCAAAATCTTTGCAATTCTCTTCTGTTTTCATTCGTAGTTGTGTGTTAAATGGAAATTGTAATTATTATCACATTTTTTACCTTCGAGTTTATGCAATATCCGTCATTAAAATTCATCCTCATTTCTTCCAAGCTAGGCGCCATTATACGCAAGTCTCACTATCGAGCGGTGTATAAAGAGAGTGGAAGAGTTGACATTTAGGAAAGACCGGTACGCCCATGGCATGCAACTTATTTTTAAAATGTTTTCTCTTCGCTTGTTGTGTTAAATATTTAATAGACGCGTGAACATAATGACAGGTGACAGTCAGAGAAAATGACTTAATATCGTTTGTAAATTTAGCTATTAATAACTACACATCATTAGGACTCATAATAAAATATGTAGTACGCCTTCAGACACCTTAACCTTGGCCTGTAGTGACAAAAAATGAAGAAATGTAACAGCGACACCAACGTTTAATTTCAATTATCAATAACGTTATCGATTAAGTGATATATATTTAACCTATTCACTTTTTCCCGAAATGAAGAGTAAGTGATAATGTTCATTAAAGGGTTTACAGAGGACTCGAACAAGGGAGAATGTAGTTCGTAGTTAATCCTAATGCATCGCGGTAGACGTAAGGAAAATATGTGCCTAAAGACTTTACTCGGGGCAGTAAAGGCAAGCTCGTCACATCAAGAGCCGGCCTTCTCATTGCGAGGAAGTTTAAGCTAATTGATAGAAACCTGTTCTGCCCATATTACCATACTCAGGAATGTATATGTATTTTGTGGAGCATATTGCGCATACATCTAGGTGGTAAGAAACTGAATAATAAATTCGTTATTCTCTGACGTGGTTCTAAACGAGAAGAAAGCTATTTGTATTTTTTTTTTTTTTTTTGGTTTTTTCATTTGTCAGCCTTTTTATGCCTACCATTGAAGGATGGCGGTATTCTTAATTTGGCTTTTTCATAATGTATGTAACATTCAAAAATAACCGTCAGAGACCCTTGATCTGCCTAAAATGGGTTAATTCTGAAGTGAATACCATCGCTATGGGTATCACATAGAAGAATTTGGAGTGTAGAATGCGAAAAACATAGTGACAGGTGTGCGAGATTCGGCCCCAGCCGAATACAACTTTCTTACTTGTTTTATTTAACTTTAACTGCATTTGTTTTTTGTTTATTAATTTCGAAGGTTTGTGTTTGTCGAACTTTAATTTCTCATTAAGAAAATCTTTGTTTCAATGTAAAAATATGATATATGTCCCATGAAAACTGAAACTAAACCACAATGTAGAACCATCTCGCTGCTATTATAGCAGCTAACTTTCAGTATGTCTTTTTTTATATTTTGAAAATCAACCAACCACAACTGAAATTTCATTAATCTTGCTAAAACTCTACGATACTATGCTCCATTACACCTCAGCGCATTCAAAAGAAAAGTGGTTGAAGTGTGTAGTTAGTGGTTGGCAGAAAAAAGAGAAAGAGAGAAAGAGAGAAAGAGAGAGAGAGAGAGAGAGAGAGAGAGAGAGAGAGAGAGAGAGA